CTGGGGGCCGGGGGTGGGCGGCGGGGGACGGTCGCCTCTGTGTCCCGCTGCTTGGAGAGGAGTGGGGAAGGCGGCTGGAGAGGGGTCTGGGTGGGAAGAAGTGGCCAGGGGGGAAGAGTGTCCCTTAGTTGTTTGTGTTCTTGCAGCCTCCAGGGCTCCCTGCTCTGGGGCCATGCTCATGCTGCTTCTCTGTGTTCCGCAGAGATCCAGAGCCAGGGCAGCAAAGCGAGGGTGTTCGGCGAGATGCTGCACGTGGACATACCCTTCCCTATTCCTGAGCCTGATGGATGCAAGTCTGGGATCCAGTGCCCCATTCAGAAGGGCCATTCGTACAGCTACCTGAATAAACTCCCTGTGAAGAGCGAGTACCCCAGCGTAAGTAAGCAGGCAGCTGGGCTGCTCCTCAGAGCTACCGTCCCTCCTGGGGCCTCTAAGGAAGGACACTTTGTCCGGTGGTGGTGGGGAAGAGGTTAGAAGACTCCTGGAACTATCAGGTGGCACTTCAAATGTGAGCATGACTTTTTTCAAGTTCCCACTTTGGGACAGACCCAGCAGAGGAAGCAGCCTGCTTCCAGCTGCTGAGAAGTGGCTTTCAGCTGCCCCAGTGTCCTCCTGTACTGCACCTGCCTGCAGAGCCTGCTGTGTTCAGCCAAATGCTCCCGAATTGGGGGTGCTCAGCTCCAGAGAGCAGCTCAGCTGGGAGGCTGCAGGGTGCTTCCACTCTCTGCTCACTCGGGGAGTGGGGACCTGAGTGCAGTGTGTGGAAGTCTCCTGTGTCGCACAACTGAACCCTCTAGTCACGTGAGATACTCCAGGAGTCACTGCGTGAGCATGGCCCACCTACTGCAGCGGGCACTATGCCCCAGCTCTGTCATCTTTGGGGAGAGCTCCCAGGACCTTCCTCCACACAAGTGATAGCTCCCCTCTCCATGTCCTTCCCTTACGGTTTCCTGAGCACTCTCTGCTCTTGTCTCTCTTTCAGATTAAACTGATTGTAAAGTGGGAGCTGGTGGATGACCAGGACCAGATGTTGTTCTGCTGGAAGATACCAGTGCAGATCACCAGCTGAGGAGCCCTGCCATTAGTAGGGCTTGGGGAGGGGAAAAATAGAAGACAACACAGGCCAAATCCTTTTATATAATAAGCCTTTCTTACTGCTTCCTTCGGAGCTCTGCAGCCTCTGAGCAGCCAGTACTGTGTTTCTACAAGGTCAGCCATGGGCAGAGGGGTCTTACCCGCTTCAGAGTCCCCTGGGGTGTTCTCACGGCAGCTCAAGGGGGAGCAGTGTCTGCTGCAGGAGTGACAGCATCGTCCTCCAGCTGCTTGCAGAGGCGCTTTAGTTGTTTGACATGGAGCTCTCTGTCCTCACAAAGGAATTTCTCTCTGATGAACCTGGCTAGTGTCTGAACTGCTACTTGGTAAACCCTTCAGTGCCTCTTCTAGAATGCCAGCTGCATCCACCCTTCCGCACTTCTGCTCCCTTGTGACTGGGATGCCCCTGGGACCTGCGTTTGCCATCCATGCAGCCGAAGGAGAGGGAAGGAGAGGCGACTTTCCCTGAGCTGGCAGCCTGTTCTGTCCTGGGCCCCAGCTCAAGCCAGCAGGACTGCAGCTGGGAAAACTTTTTGTGGATGCAAAGCCAAATGGCGTTCGACGTCTCTGCAGGGATGATTCTTTCTTTAACCAATGGTTTGCACTACTACTAACTTGGAGCTGCTGGGAGCTCCTGAACCTCTTTTTATAACTTTCAATAAAGGCTAGACAAAATCTGGTAGTGTTGTATTCTGTGAGTGGAGAAGAGCAGGAGGAAAAGTACAGTGGCTGGGCATCTTCTAGTTGGGGTTGGGCTGGTCTTATTTCTCACGTGAAGGCATGGATGGAGGTGGTATGCTGGCCTGAGTGTAGGTGACCTGAGAGCAGCCAGGCATCCCTGCTGCAGTCTGCCAGGGTGTCCAGCTAGCAGTGTCTGACTGTGCTCCTGCCTTGCTGGTCCTGTGCTGGCCTGAAATTGCACAAAGGTTCCCTGAGGAGGTGGTGGTGTAGAACGTGGCCTTGCTTGCTGCAGCATAGGTAAAGGCCTTTCTAGGGAGGGCTCTAGGGCTGGAAAAGTGTTTCCCAGACCTGCACAAGGGCTCTTGCCAACTGCAGAAACCTGCATGTTCTCATGCTTAAATTGCAGCCCCCTCGTATGTATGTGAACAACGCAGGGCGTGAGCAGCCACAACCCCTCTGCTGTCTGCAGGGGCTGGAGTTGGCTCCTGCGGCTGGTACTGGGCTGGAGAGATAAGCAAGTATTTGGCCTGGCAAGGGTCTCTGCTCTGGCTCAGAAGGAGGAGGCTGGGCCCTAGCGTGAGAGGGGCAAGACCTGGCTTACGAGAGAGCGGGGTGGCCTTGCCAGGCTGGACGCAGAGGGAGGGTACCCCTTAGCAGAGGCAAGACAAGCACAGTTTTGACTGGCCCCAGTGTCTTGAGCCACAGGGCCCCAAAATAAATGTTTTATTTAACAACATAAGAGAAGTTTCCAGCAGATTTGATTTAAAAAAAAAAAAAAGACACAACTTTACAGAAAGGAAGCTGGACCTGCCCTCCCTGCTCCCCCGCCCAGCCAGCACAGGACACAAAGTGTGGGGGCTAAGAGATGTGCCTAGGCTGACTGCAGGGAGAGCTAGCCCTGGGGCCCCTCCAGCTTCTCCTCCATGCCCCAAGGCTAGGCAGCAGCTTTAGAAAGCTGGGGTTGACCCCTGCCAAAGCTCCGGCCTGGGGGCTGGACACTTCACGAGGAGCAGGGCCAGCACCTGCGGTGTGGGTGAGGCTTGTCGCTAGGTCAGTGCAGCAGTGGCGGGGAGATGAACCCCCCTTCTTGGCAGGGCAAGGGAAGGAGGCTGAGGCTGCATGGCAGGGGAAGGAGTCCCGTGAAACACCATGGCACAGGACGATGT